TATACGGATCGATTCTGTCGTGTGAGGAGGTGGATGCGTGCGTGTAGGTGTCCCGACTGTTGCTGCTGTGTTGTTCGGTTTCATATTAGTTTAGATAAAGTATCATGCGTTGCCTAATAGAATATGGGCATTTCATGCATTTTGAATCTATAATCTTCAATGGAATGAGAACATCTAATAGTGTCACTGAACGACAGGAAAGAACGTAGATTATTCACTCTCTATCGTATCGTGTGTGTCCCGTAAACATTCTTGATGGCATACTTCACGAACTTGATCTCGTTATTTCTTTCGTGGTGTCATGGGCCTTCATGGCACTTGTTCTTTTGAAGGAGACCAATGTTAATCTTGCATTTTAAACTGCATTATTTTTAGAATTCTGCGTGCAGAAATAATTTTTTATCGACTTCTTGATACTCGTACTCATTTCGTCGTTCGCGTGAGTCACGACTGTGACATTTCCCCCATAGTAGCTATGATAAGTGTCATGGCCCTTATCCCTTTTAGCTCGTCGTTTGTTGCGGCTATCAAAATTGAATTTCTATTGTTTTTCCTCTCAAAGTTATGACTGAGGCAGTGGGGCTCACGCTCACCTGATAGGTTTGAAGTCATAAGATTTTACTAGATATATTATCTAGGCCTAGTACCTATTAAGAAATGTATTTTTTTAACTATGCAAAAATATTGAAAATGAGCTCTGATATTTTTTTGTTACACCAAATTACCTATGTGGTTTTCAAATAATTTGGGCATTTCTAATATTTTAGTAAAATGTTAGCAATTTCAGCCTTTCAGGCATAGCCCTGGCCTGAGCTGAACCTAAATCTTTAAGTTATAAAATTCATCAAAATGCAAGAGATCTCCTTGCCATCACTGGCAACAGATATCAGTGCCATGGACAATTTAATTTTTGCCCATATGGCCATACCTAGGCCTATTGCCCATGTCATGATTGAAATTTCCCTAAATATGAATAAGTTCTTGTGGCTCCAAAGGGACAAGTTTGTAAATTGCAATACATTTGGAATCTTGTCACACTATCGTGCACTTTTGTTAACAATAAGAAAGGATGTATGTAATTCATCTAGCAGGATTCTCCCTGTTCTAAAAATGGTTGGAAAGCTTTGATTGCAGCTTTAAACTGAAAGATGTCATGGTCAGCCATTAGGAAAAATTTCTTATTTTAAAATGTGGCCCACATAGTCATATGTTGACATTTCAGACAATGATTCCTAATTTCCCGCTCATGCACACGTGTGCTGAGGCGAGGTATGCATCTATAAACTGAAAGCTGTCATAGTCAGCCATTAGGGTACGCACACAGTGAAAGCAGGTTGCCAGCGTGCTGGTTACCTGCTCAGGCTGGCATCTGAAACCATAGAATACAGAAGCCTATTCATACAGGTTTTCACTGTGAACACTTACATTATTATCATATGTTCATTCTTGTGGCAGGTTGGAGCAGGTTGCCCGTGCGGGCAAACCTGCTTACACTGTGTGTGTACCCTTAGGAAAGATTTCTTATTTTAAAATCTGGCCACCAAGTCATATGTTGGCAATAATTGACATTTCAGAGAATGATTCCTAATTTCCTGCTCATGCACATGTGTGCTGAAGTATGCTTGAAGCCTATGGTGGTCACCTAATCCATGTCTACATCAAAGGTGGTCGGTCAATAATCATTATGATCAATGACAAATAATTTATTTATATGAGAAGGTTGTGCAATTGATGCAGTGGAAAAATCATGATCTACCAGCCTATGTCTATGTGGGGTCAACTAGTTGATTGTGATATGATTGTTTAAGCATCATTAATACTTCTTAAACATGTATCGATTTATATTTCTTAGCATGCTTAAATCACAAATTTATTTCAGCATTAATTTTAATCAAATACAATTTTAAGGAAATGGCAATAGTCTCATGCAATAGTCTAAAAAAATGAAAGAAAAATCATCCAATACCATCCATCCAGATAAATACCATCCAATTTACATTCAAGCTAGAAATTGACTTCAAATGAAGTCTTTGTCAACTCCCAAAGGTTATAGGTTACTGTACTTCTTACAACTTCTGTCATGCCTATTTATCTCGCATGCAAGCATATATCTATTCATAGCATTAGTTTCTACTTTTAACTTTATTCTGTGTTTTGTGTCAATTATGCTTCATTTCTTGTTCTTTGTTAGCAATGTTGTCATCTGTGGTCACCATATTTCACTAAGGCATTTGAATTTGGCATGTTGCTAATGAATGATACAATATACTAATTGTAAAATAGTTGCTACATCTTCTCAACTGAATTTTAAATCATTATAACTATTGACACCCTGTGTAATTTGATCTGTACATTGTTCAGCATTTGTATTGCCATATTCCAACTTGGCAAGTATATATATATATTTATCCATCTTTTGTGCATTAACAATCAGCAATCCAACAGTATAACTGTAAGATATATATTTTTGAGATTTTTATAATTAAATATTAAATGATTTATATCCTGGAGCAGTAATATTGTCTATAAGGATCTATAAGAACACAATCATTGAAGTTGGAGTACTTCCAGTTTCTTCACTGTAGAGGTGTCACATTGGCTTGGCTTAGGTGTTACAGTCTGCCCCTGGTGTTTGTACTGATCATTCATGGTCTATCTTGATCTCCTGTTCATGTTTTGTGCTCATTCATGGTCTATCTTGTTCTCCCATTCATGTTCTGTGCTCATTCATGGTCTATCTTGTTCTCCCATTCATGTTCTGTGCTCATTTGTGGTCTATCTTGTTCTCCCATTCATGTTCTGTGCTCATTCGTGTTCTATCTTGTTCCCCTGTTCATGTTTTGTGCTCATTTGTGGTTTATTTTGTTCTCCTATTCATGTTTTGTGCTCATTCACAGTTTATTGCATGTTTGGTGGTATAATGTGCTCATTTATGGCCCCTTATCTTATCTTTGGTGAGCTTGATGTTCTAAATGTTGCGTCGCACAACTTGTCAGCCACAGCCTGCATGAATTTAATTGTGAATATGCAGGTTTGATCTCGAAACAAAATAGTTTGTTATTGAACATGGCATTTCAAATACGTTTGTAAATTTCTTGGGTCATGAAAATTCTTCCTATTTTCCTAAATTCTTCCAGGCCTATTTAATTAAATTGATTTTTAATGATGCTTCACTGGTATTCACAGACTAATGACAGTTGTGGGAAATGGTCTTACTATTACTACATGTTCTACCACTTTAAATTTATCAGTGAAGGTTAAATATTTTTAAATTTAAGTCTGCTTTAACTTAAGTACCATCAACCTGGTAACTTAGACCAATAATAAATTTTTCTGAAGTGCAGTTAAGTTTGTTGGATGCTTTATGGAGAAAACTTTGTACCAATAACTTCATTGATATTTATCCAAAACTGAAATTGTGGAAATTTAGGAAGACTTCAACATTTAGGGATTTGATCCAATAAGAGCTGTTCTGTTGGTGCTCATTATTTGCTAAATTTTATGTTTGGTTACCTGTATACTTGAACTGCCACATTAGGCTATGTAGGTTTGTGTTAACTATTTACATCTGTAGTACTTCCATCAAAGGTGGTAATAAGTTTAGTTAGTTTAGTTTAGTGGCCAAATGTTTACTATTACTAGCGCTTCAGCTATTTAGCTATCTCGCACCGAAAGTCAAGATGAACATCGCCATAGAGGTGAGGTGGTAATAAGGGATACACAAGGAACTAGGTATTTATATCTACAGTACTACCATAGAACGGGGTAATAAGGGACAGGCGGGGTAAATCAGGTCAGTTGTCCCACATTTCATAGAAATATTGTAGCAGCAAAACTAATAACAATATTGCAAGACTGAAAATAGTGGCATAAAGTTCAACATTTTTACTATCTATGTAGCATAAAGCAAATCAAGAAATCATACATTTACTATCTCTAAAAAATCCTTGAAAAAGTGTGAAAAGTACAATTTTGGAAAAGTATTACCTCTGCTGTCTGTAGCAAAAAATATTTGCCATGCAATGTTGATGTAGATCTAGAATAACTGACATTTTCTGGGATTTTTACCTTGTTTTCCTTTATTTATATGATATTACCATATCCATACATAACCGTATTATTGATATGATATTACTGTATCCATGGACATACCATTGAACATTGACAAAAACCTTGTCCACTGCAAGCTTCATATCAGCATCCACATAGCATTTCTTCTGCATCTGTAAGCTTACAGGACCGCTTGTAATTTTGCACCATTTTAATTGGGTCACATGAATTCACTATAAAAGATTGTAAGAAATACCTGAAATGGAAATGAATATTTTAAAGACAACCATCATATTTTTTTAGAAATAAATCATAGTTTAGGTTAATTACTTTTCATCTTATATTACCCCGTGCACAATTCTGCACAATTTTGTGATGGCCGATGATGCATTAATTTTTTGTTAAGTGAAATTTTTTCACCAAGCGAGGTAAATATAATCAAAATTTTTTGTTGTTAATTGATTTTTCATTAACTGGAGCCTTTGCCTAATCAAGGTTCTACTGTAAATGCATATTTAGGGGTGTTCCTTATTGCCCCTGGGAATGTCCCTTGTTACCCTGTCCTGCAATAATGCTGCCATTTTTTTTTTTTTTGGGAATGAGATATGAGAATTCCGTCAATAGTGTTTTTAAGCCAACAACTTTGTGCAACTTTTATGCAAGTAAAATTTTTTGATATGGCAAATATATTTTTTTTTGCTTCAGATCTTAGCACAGGTAAGTTTCCAAAGTCATACTTTTCACACTTTTTTCAGCGATTTTTAGAGGTAGTAAATGTATGATTTCTTAACTTGCTTTATGCTACATAGATAGTAGAAATGTGGAACTTTATGCCACAAGTTTTTGTTTTGCAACATTTGGATTAGTTTAGCTGCTACAAGATTTCTACAAAATGTGAGACAACTGTCCCAATTTACACTACCCGTCCCTTATTATCCTGTTTGATGGTATTGTATTGATCATTCATAAAATTTGAATTGATTCTTTTCAGGTGGTTTCTGAGATCAGACTTGGTTGATTGTTGGTGTAGGGGTTGTAGCCTGATTCTTGTGAAGTGTTGTTCAGTTCACCTGAAGAGTTGAGCCGGACTGGCTACAGTGTTCCTGACCGCTGCACACCAAGTGCTGCAATGAGCTATCAAATGTCGCAGCAAGCTCGGCCAAGTGAGTTCTCATTTTTTCAAGATTTGCTTCTGTTTTGTTTTCTTTTTTAAATACTTTTAAAAAATTATTCCAAAATCATTTTCAAGGTTATGGTTCACTACAGTATATACCAATTCAATTTTTAATTTCATTTTAATTTTTGCTTTATAATTATTTAACATGTAATACTAGTCATAGAATTAACTAACGTGTACCTGAAAAAGCTGAATGAATTGTTTGAATTATATTGCTTGCTTTGGTTTGGGTGTGCAGTGTCGCAGAGTGGCAGTTACCAGCATCCTGGTGACATGCCTTTGGCCAATCCTAAGGATCAAGTTGCCATGTGGCAACAGTCACCATACATGGCAGACTCTGGCATCCACTCAGCCACTACAACACAAGCCCCCTCACTGAGTGGCAAGGAGGAGGACATGGACACAAGTGGTGTGCCCACTCCAGGCACTCAGGATTGGCTGGATGGGCAGCAGGGCAATGGCTTTGCCCAAGCTGGCTTCACCTCTGATCAGGCGAGATATTTGGCAGTACCAGACCACAGAACATAACCTAACCTGTCTATTGGCTCTATTGTCACTATTGACCATATAATAGGCCATACTAGAGCACAACCTGTATATTGACCAGACAATAGGCCATACTATCGACCTAAGTCAGACAGCTGGTGGCTGCACAGAATTGGTTATCAATCATCTGAAGGTATCATTCCTGAGCTTAAAGCAACTATTCAATATTGTTTGCATTATAATACTGGCTGCTAAAGGAATAGAAATTGGGCCTGAATTTCTAGAGTAAACCTATTATATATAATAGCATATTTTGTTATGTTGACACAAATTATTATAGGGAGGCTATTGAGAATATTCAGATTTTTGTATGATATTTAGGAGTTCCTATCTTGCTTGTTTAAATTGTTCAGATAAAGCAATGTTTGTATCATAGACCATCCAAGTGGTAGAATATAGATGAGCTTGATAGACAAAATTTTTATAACGTAAGCAATGTATAAAAAAATGTACTAAATATTTGAGGATGAAATGTGAATAAGAAGGAAATTACTAGATAATAATACAAGAAATACTTCTTCAAGGAAATAAAAACAAATACCGGTACTAGTAGCACTTTAGTCTTCAAGGTGAGAGGTATAGTAATACTGCAGCACAAGAAAAAGTAATAGATGGAAATGAGTGTTATTATTTGCTAAACATATTGTTTTAGGTGGACGAGATGAACCAGCAGCTGACGCAGACACGCTCTCAGCGAGTGAGGGCTGCCATGTTCCCTGAGACTCTGGACGAAGGGCTTGAGATTCCCTCCACCCAGTACGACCCTGCACAGCCCACGGCCGTGCAGCGCCTTGCTGAGCCTTCCCAAATGCTCAAGCATGCTGTGGTCAACCTCATCAACTACCAGGTATGTTGGTCCACTCTTGCTGAGCCCAACTTGTTCTATTTTCATTATAGACTTGTTAAAATGCAATGAAATCAAAAAGTGACTACCAGGCATTTCTTTTACATCAAAGTACATTCTGCCATTTTTTGGGCACTTTTGTTTGAATTATTGGATGCCTTTTTGGTCATTTTTGTCACATCATTGCTGGAGAAATATGCTTCACAGAGAATTTTTTGTAACTATTTAATGTTAGTTGAACACTATTTGCTTTTTGTTAGTCGAACACTAAATAGTCAAACACTATTTGCTGGCTGAAATTTAGGCACATTGTAGCTACCTAAATCTAATCATTGACACTCCTTCTGCTGCTTTGAATTTGTTGCATTGTGTTAAATGTTAATCGTTTTAGTGTTAATTTCAAATTCCAACTTTTAATCTGTAGAAGTGAACACCACTTTTCTGCCTCATTTCATAATATGAAATTCTTGCTCCATTTTAGTTTTTGTAGTATTTCAGGTTATATTTTCAGTGTTCCTTCACCAATCAAGCTGCACAAAATATAGTACCCTATATACCATATACCATTTTAAAATATCACTTACTTTCTTGTTTTTGAGTGTCTCATAATTTTTGGTTGTTGCAATTTGCCTCATTTTTTTAGTACCCCCAACAGCTACCTGGTATAATAATTTACATGTAACCCTCAATTATTTCAGTTCCTCATTACTATTACTATCAGTTATTTGTTGCTAAGCAACTTATTGATGTTGAAATTTGAGCTCATGAGTTAGATCTTTGATCCCAGGGCATTTGAGGTAAAGCTGCCCTGGAAAAATTTTCCAGACTCCAGTGAGCATAAGTTTTTTTTAAATATACAAGCAAAGTAGCAAACCATGTTCAATCTTGACGACGTAGCAAAAGTGTGGAAATGAGACGAGGAACAGAGAAAGTATTATTTAAGTTTGATATCTGCATCTTGACTCATGACCTCTGATAATGATAGTTGTAGTCTAATTAATGAACTTTGAACAGTTCTATCTTTCTTGATTAGAATAATTGTTGTACTTGCATCTATTTTATTTCACGTGTCCTGTTTCATATGTGGATAAAAGATTAAGGTCCAATTGATCTTTGACAACAGGATGACGCTGACCTCGCAACGCGTGCCGTGCCAGAGCTCATCAAGCTCCTGAATGACGAGGATCAGGTGGTCGTGTCGCAGGCGGCCATGATGGTTCACAGGCTCAGCAAGAAGGAGGCTTCTCGCCACGCCATTATGAACTCGCAGCAGATGGTGGCAGCTCTTGTACGCGCTCTTAACAACTCCTCAGACCTCGAGACAACTCGCGTCACTGTTGGAGCTTTGCACAACCTCTCCCACCACAGGCAGGGGCTGCTGGCCATCTTCAAGAGTGGCGGTATCCCAGCGCTGGTCAAACTGCTCAGCTCGCCAGTCGAGAGCGTACTTTTCTACGCCATTACGACCCTGCACAGCCTTTTGTTGCACCAGGAGGGCAGCAAAACTGCTGTAAGGATGGCTGGAGGTCTACAAAAAATGGTGGCACTTCTCCAGAGGAATAACGTTAAGTTCCTTGCCATTGTGACAGACTGCCTTCAGATCTTAGCCTATGGAAACCAAGAAAGCAAACTCATCATCCTGGCATCTCAAGGTCCTCAAGAGCTGGTACGCATCATGCGTTCCTACACCTACGAGAAGCTCCTCTGGACCACTTCTAGAGTCCTTAAAGTCCTCTCAGTTTGCTCGAGCAACAAACCTGCTCTTGTGGAAGCTGGAGGAATGCAGGCATTGGCCATGCACCTCAACCATCAAAGCCACCGCCTCCTACAAAACTGTCTCTGGACCCTTCGTAACCTATCTGATGCTGGCACCAAAGTGGACAACCTTGACAATCTTCTGCAAAGTCTGGTGCAGCTGCTGCGCTCAAACGACATTAATGTTGTAACATGTGCTGCTGGTATCCTCTCTAATCTGACCTGCAACAACCAGCGCAACAAAATCACCGTCTGCCAAGTAGGTGGCATTGAGGCCCTCGTCTCTACTATTTACAACGCTGGCGAACGGGAGGAGATAACAGAGCCAGCAGTGTGTGCACTGCGTCACCTCACGGCGCGACACCCAGAATCTGATGTGGGTCAAAACACAGTGCGTCAGAAGAACGGCCTGCCTGTGATCGTGAACCTACTGCACCCTCCCTCGAGGTGGCCCCTCGTCAAGGCCGTCATTGGTCTCATCAGGAACCTGGCTTTGTGTGCTGCTAACCACGCTCCTCTCAGGGAGGCGGGCGCCATACCACGTCTCGTGCAGCTTCTTATTCGCGCCTTCCAGGACACCCAGCGGGTTTGTGCTACACGTGATTTCTGCAACCTCTTGTCTAATTAAGACTAAAATTTTCCTCGTGAAAGAATTAAGCTGCTAGTGGCTCACGCTAGACATTTTGAATGCATCTTGTAGCATGGTTTGCTGCATGATGCTTCAACCACCATTCCTACATTTACATCTTTAAAGTGAGACATTGAGTGGTATATGCGAGGATCATTGTTTTGATTACAATATTGTGAAGTCTTTCAAATCATGGATGTAATCTTGATGTAATTCGTACGTTCAGTTAGGTACGTGCAACTGAAATGCCTGCTCCAACAACAACAAGGTCCTGTGGCTTAATAATACCAAGCGTGAAACGTTTCTCTGATGAAACTACATGAAGCGCCAAGCTATTCTCTAGCCTATCATATGAGTGCGGTCATGGTGTTATAACCTGTCTTGTTCATGTTTATGACTCGTGGTGTTATAACCTGCCCTGTTCATGTTTATGACTCGTGGTGTTATAACCTGCCCTGTTCATGTTTATGACTCGTGGTGTTATAACCTGCCCTGTTCATATTTATGACTCGTGATGTTATAACCTGCCCTGTTCATATTTATGACACATGGTGTTATTACCTGCCCTGTTCATATTAATTACTCATGGTGTTATTACCTGCCCTGTTGTTTTATGACGTCTTTACTTTTTGTTGACAGCAACGCGGGTCGGTCGCGAGCGGCGGCAGCGGCAGCGCTAGCGGCGCCTATGCTGACGGTGTGCGAATGGAGGAGATCGTCGAGGGCACCGTGGGCGCCCTGCACATACTTGCCAGGGAGTCGCACAACAGGGCCATCATCAGGAGCCTCAACGTTATCCCTATCTTCGTACAGGTGCTTGCATTTCTTCTCTCTTAGATCTTCATGTATGTGCCTGCATTTCTTCTCTCTTGTAATGCTTAACATCTCCAGGGCCTATACTTCAAATAAAAAAAAGTTTGAGAGATCGTAAGTTCATCAGCCAATCATTGACGGCCTTTCAAGCAAAATCCACCCATTATAGACAACAAAATAGAGCTTTTGCTCTATTTTCTTACGTTCATTTAGCGAATTTTGAAAATATGGCCCTGATCTTTATATTTTACGCTTGTAGTATTTTGCATCTCCCAATGTTCATTCATCTCTCGTCATGTATTTTCTTCGCTCTGCCTTGGGGATTCCTCGTTTCGCTCTTTGAAATGCTGAAAAGTGCAAGCATGCAAGTTAGTTGTCATTCCTTGGCTTTACCAAAAACCACAAGATCGTTACTGGCGTTGTTCATGTGCCTTTTTTGTTGATTACTATTTCTTTCGACGTAGCCTAAGCCTTCTTTTGAAATCACTGTGACCGCAGTTAACAATGTGAGGTAAAAGAAATAATTCTACACCCTTCTCGTGACAGCTATGTCCAGGGGCCGTATTATCAAAACTTCGTAGCTTTTTGTACTTCCGACAAAAAAGTTACGTATTACGTAAGTACACCCTAATTTTGGCATTATCAAAACATTCGTACGTAAGACTTAGCTAAAAGCGTACTATCAAATCATCTGCCCAACTGACCAATCAGCAGAGGCTTTGGATTTGTTTACATTCTGTAAACTTCGATGGCGGGAATCGATGCCTCCGATGGTATAGACTATCGAATGCTGTCTGTTGGTATTAAGTCGGTATTGCTCCTTGTTGGCCCAGAAAAAGCCATTCTAAAATAGTTGTGAACTCTTTTTAATAAACAGCGTGAGTTGAAGAAGAAATCTGTGTACGGAGCTAAAAATTATGGTTGGCAAAGATATAAAGTACCGACTGGAAGGAATGAATGATGAGCGTTGGAATATAACGTAATATGCATTTGCTTGTAAAATATAACGTAAAAGGAAAACAAAATCAGTTCCTAGCATTAACTCAATTGAATTTTCTTCCAATAGCACTGTTTAGCACGATCACATATTTTGATCGTGCAAATGTTGCACGATCAAGTAGTGGAGCCATCATTCTATGCGTGTATAATCTGCGCTGTCGGATTATTGACAAAATTCTATCACAAGTCAAGGTGTTGCTACTTGCTAGTAAATCAATAGTTTCCTATCGCTTCAGCAGACACTCTAAACTTGTTCGGAACTCCACTTACGACATCTCCGAGCAGGCGTACAGTTACGTTACGTATCTTCCCGCGCAAATGTTTTGATAATACCACCTCTAGAGTTACGTCATCAAGTCAGCACTTACGCCACTCGTAAGTTAATTTTGCGTACTTACGAAGTTTTGATAATACGGCCCCAGGTGTTCAGGAGGTCTCAAGTCATAAGTTTAGTCCGGGAGATTGCATTTCCCCATTCCAGGTTTTGTGAAAATTTCATAAATTAGATCATTGTCAGTCGTGTGTTTAGAACTGAGCCTTGATGTCCAGGTATCTGTTATGCTTGTATTTATTTATTTAAAGACAATTGCAGTTACTTTACAACGAAATCGAGAACATCGAGCGCGTGGCTGCAGGCGTGCTTTGCGAGCTCGCAGCTGACAAGGAAGGTGCTGAGCTCATCGAACAAGACGGAGCTACAGCGCCTCTTACCGAGCTTCTTCATTCCCGTAACGAAGGAGTCGGTGAGTTAAATGCTAGACTGCTTAAACCTTCAATTCTCGAAACTTGCCTAATCTTAACTGACTAATCTTGATCAATCTTTCCTACAGCATCTGAAAACAAAGCTTAGGAATACAAGAAGAATGGTACAATCCTATATTTATATTGTAGTTGATTTTCTTGTAAAATAAAACAGTGTCATCATAATTAAATGTGTGGTGTGCAGCAACATACGCGGCGGCGGTGCTGTTCCGAATGTCAGAAGACAAGCCTCAAGACTACAAGAAACGTCTCAGTCTGGAGCTCACCAACTCGCTGCTGCGCGAGGACGGCGGTGTCTGGGGAGGCGATATATCGCAGATGCCGCCCGACATGCAGGAGTTCATGGCTCCTCCTGAGGGTGGCTATGATCACATGTATGGTCAAGGTCCTCCGAGCGTTCATAGTACAGGTCATCCTCCGCCGCAAAACTATCCTGGTCAGTCCTTGTATATCTTTTTTCTTAACACGTTGACTACGATTGGTTCATCTTGTACTTTTGTTTCATTTTTCTAGTACTATTATGGATCAGGGTTGCCAGACTTTCTTTTTTTACCGGACAAATTCCGCGATTTAGTTTTTCCAATTTAGGTGGTCGGCTAAAATTTATTATAGGGGCTGTAAGGGGCGCTTCCTAATTAACTAAAAAAATTGAATTTTTACACCGGAACCTACAAATATACTAGTACATATTGAGTTATAGGCCTTTTTGGCCTTTTTGTTCACGGATTTAATTGGCCGTTTTTTAGGCCATCTGGCAACCCAGAATTATGTACCAGGAGAAATACATTTTGTGGTACGCATATGTACCAATACGTAGTCAACGTGTTAAAGGAATTTCCTCGCTAGGTTTAGGGAGATTGTATAGTTCTGACAGTTTTTTACAATTTTAATTTCGACGAGATTATCCTTCATGTGCTTAATAAGTGCTTCAATATTTTCAAAATTCACGGTCATTGTCGTGAAAATCACTACGTATTTTAGGTAATAAACACCTGCAGATAAGTGCCAAAATAGACATAATCATTTGTTAAGCACTGTATCACCCACGTCATATATGTCCCCTAATGTGTCACATACACATGACAGCTGTATCGTACACATTGTCGTACCATAACTCTCTTGCATGTATCGTACACATTTATCAACGTACAAGTTTCTGTACACTTGTCACAAAGCACTCACTCTCTTGTAATTGCTCAGGCGGCTACGACCCTCACCTTCCTGTTGAGTCTCTACAAGGCCTTGACATCGCAGCAGCTCAGCAACACCGCGGGGGCGGCGGCGGCAGCAACTACGGCACATTGGATCCTATGGAACTCCCACCGGGGCATCCTGCTGCCGCTCCTCCACCTCATCCTGCTGACATGGCTCCTCCAGGACAAGGTTATGACCAGCAGGTTCCACCACAGCCGCCTCGGGATAACAATCAAATGGCCGCTTGGTACGATACGGATCTTTAAATTTCCCCTCTTTGGTTCACTGCTCTTGCTTGAGTGGCTCTCATTCTGCTGTTGGTTGCGTCTTTCTGAGGCTTTATTTAGTAATTTCAAGTTCATTTTGTGTTGTCACCGGGGGCCGTATTGCATGCCTGTACACTCGGTATTTCCTCAAAATTTTGATCGACTGATCATACCATTCCAATTGTTAGGGTGCCGTCGTTGGCTGATGCTACTTTGGTTACACTCCCTCGTGCAATGAAAATTCAAATTTCTGCATTACAGTGATACATTGTATTATGATCAATTTTGGCTAGAGTTTGATGTCTGGTTTAGTTGCTGAAGTGAAGGATACAATGTACCTTGGAATTCTATAAAACATTAATCAGTGCCTCGTTTGACGAAATTTTTGCGTTGTTTACCTTGCGACCTTCAGCACGAGGAGTCCCAGGCGAGGGCAAACCGCCATTTTTGTGACGCAATACCAGCGTTCATTTTACACCAAATAATGCAGAGTTTAGGTCTAGTTAAGCTATTGTTCTCATGAACTTTTGCTGTTTCGTAATGCGACGATCAAAATAATTCATCGAATGTCCTCTTCATAATATTCAGAGAAAAAAAGTTTAACCTTCTCTTAGATTGTCCAAGATTGATTTTGTAGGATTTATGTTTGGTTATTGTTCGTCGGATGATGTGTGTCGAGTATATAGTTCAGCTGCTGAGCTTGCCGTTTGGTCTTGAAGCTATTGTAAAGGTAGGTGTTCAGTTTAGCTCTATAATATAATAAGTCTAGCATGTAAGTGCACTCGCAAAGGAGTTAGGCTGCGATGATGTCTTTGTCGCTAATTGATGTTAGGGATGTAAGTGGCACAACACTTCTCTGGTCACGTGGTGCAGGGGGCGGCCATTACACTCAATGTACTCCATCACATTCCCTGAATTGATCATGACAGCTTCACAGACTGAGGTGTTTTCACCAAAACTCTGATTCTTTTGCCACCTTCAGCCAAGTTTAATGACTGAAGTGATGCAATCATTCATTGTTACATTATCTTCACGTTTTGAACTGATTTATTTGCCTAATATACAATTATTCAATAATTTGTTTTACCACGGTTACGTACGCTCCAAAAGTTTTCTTCCGAAATATTTTAAACATTTTCTATACCTAGAAATATATTTGTTACATATGCGTTGACGTGGTCATTGGAATAAAGTTGAATTTTGTACCAGATAATTGTTTTCAAGGTTACCACTAAATTAAGCTTGTTGATGCCAAGAATAAAGCAGTGGCCGCTCCCTTCGCCGCCGCCGCCAGTGTTAGTCTATCAGGGTACAGGCTGCGCTCTCCTCCGCCTCTGCTGTGGAGATTAGCGACTGCCTCATAAAATTATCAATCACCTTTTATTTAAGTCTTTATCGATACCATTAAGGCTTGTGCGTAAGTAGACATGATGGAGCTTTTTTGCGTGAAACTTTATCATAATCATTCTATCATCTCAGTTTATACGATCCTATTTTGCGATCATTGTCTGTGGAAGTGCACTCGATATTTTGTACAGCATGTAAACAGGATTTCCTTTCATTGCCATTCATTGATCCTTTACTTCTTTGTACCCCCTCCGTACAGTCTGCTGTCTAGTACTGAAGTAGGTGCTTCATTATTTAACATTAATTCGTCATTTCTGGGATATCATGTAACCTTTTTTTTCGCTCGTTCGGGATATTGCATGCGACTGTAGTCAAAAAATCTGTGGTATTGGTTTCAATGGCTTAATATTACCACGGGTCATTGATGATAATCTAGGTTCAATTTCCTGTAACAAGAGACGAAAAACTTCATGTTGGTCTTTTAACCAATCACCCATTGATTATAACATCAATGATCCCGATTAGCAAATCTCAGAGCTGAGCTCTTGTCGCGTTCTAGTCATGCAGTAATCCGTGCAGAACTTGATTTGTCACGACATGCAAGGGCCAACACGGCCTTCCTCTGCACTCTCTTGCTCCTAAATCCACAGTAATTAGTATCAATCATTTGGATTAGTGCGTGTATTGGGCTACTTTTTAATCATTTAGTTTGGGGCAACTGCCACGAGTGTTACGTATCTCTCGTGCGCTACGACGAAATTACCGCATGTCTTCCTTCATCGGTGCTTCATTTCGTATCATTTGACCAGCTCTTGTTTCCTCTTATCTTCGTCCATCTCGCTTAATTGTACCCAAGCACTATTCATTGTAGCGATCTACTTTTCATGAATTGTATTTCACCAAGATTCTGTATTAAAACCTTTCTAATAGTACGGGGGCTTCTCTTATTATTCCTGTCGTGTTCGCTTATGCCTCGTAATCTCTAGACTTGACGAGCAAGCGTTATTTTTCATTGTGCAGTTAAGCTGATGAAATTAAATTCACTTGTGCATGAATGGTGCTGGATTTAGTACATGTGGAGGGTTGTAGAGCAATGTAGAGTGATGTTTTTTGCTAGTATAACAATTGAACGTAGGTTCGTTGGGTGTTGCAGACGGATAAGTCTTATGAAGGTTGTAGTGTGGGGGCAAGTAAGAAAAATTGTGAAGAAGCAACAGCTGAATAAGTACCTTACATCAACTTCGTTGTACTTTTGGGCGTTATGCAAGTCAATATAAGAGTGGGAACGATATTGCTGCCACGGATAAGAAAACGTTCGTTACGTACGACATACTCGGTGCGATAATTTCATAAATGGACAGCACAAGTCATGTTCCAACTGATCATGTACACACCGTACGTCTTGACGTCTGTTATACGTAGAACGCGTGCTACTTCTCTACCTCACCTACTCAAGTCGATCCGACACATCTGTTTTCGTTTTATGAAATGCAACCTCTCTCACCCGACTAAATTCATTTAAATCATAATCTATTTCTTCGTCATTGCCCCTCACTATTTCTTCATTTTAAGACTTCATTATTATTATAAATTATTTTCCAGGGACCTCACATTCTTTCCTTATTATGAAACCCTCATTTTTTCTTTTTCCTGATCCTGTTCCCTCGTCCTACAATTCATGCACCTTATCTTGAACTCGTTTGGTTCCTTTACCTAAACCCTCGTTCTTTCATTATTCTAAACCCAGTTTATATCCTTATCCTAAATCCATTACATGTCCTAATCCTAAACCTCGTCAGTTTATATCCTCATCCTAAATCCTCGTTCTTTCCTTGTCCTAAACCCTCGTTCTATCCTTGTTCTAAACCCAATTTGAATCCTCATCCTAAACCCAATTTGAATCCTCATCCTAAACCCAATTTGAATCCTCATCCTAAACCCAATTTAAATCCTCATCCTAACCCCAATTTAAATCCTCATCCTAAACCCAATTTAAATCCTCATCCTAGACCCAATTTAAATCCTCATCCTAAACCCAATTTATATCCTTATCCTAACCATCCTCGTTTCACCCTAAAACATTTATTTTCCTCTGTTCTGTTTATTTTCGTCTTATCGCGAATTTTCGTCCTTCTTGCGCCATAACTTTACCCGATACATATGTAGTGATCTTTCTCCTTTTCAAATTTCTATTCCCTCTTCTACGTCGCCTTTCAATGTTCTGTGCTGACAAACTTTACAATCTGCGATCGACTCTAACACGCGGTCCAATACATAAATGTGTTATGTACATGAAGAAACCGCTGGGTGAGTCCCTCTTTCTTTTTTCAAAGATTCTTATTCTCTTGAGAATGAGTCGTTGGGGATGTTCGTGACGATTTCCTACCTAAACCTTGCGCTCCAGGATTCAGACTGCAAGGATAGACTATGTGGATAGGAAGTGTTGGCTAGTGATCGGTCATAATTGTGGTGGTGCTGAATGGTGGGAAAGATGATGTCATGCAGCGTTAAAACTATTAACTTGGCAATGAACATTAGTATCATCCATATTCCTGTATTGCACTGAGACAATTTTCCAACTAGCTATTGATCATCGCAATAAACCTGTCGCTAAGAATGACGGAGGGTCAGCATCACTGGACCCGTTTCTGGATAGCCTTCACTTTTCCACCTTTAGTAAAGTTATTTCCGACTCTTGGTTTCCTAAGTTAAGTGCAAGCCCGTCCAGAAGCGGCGTCCATGGCAGAGGTGATGACGGCCATCTTGAATTCTTAAGTCTTTGCAATGCAAGTCAGGTAATTTTGGTTAATATTTGTCACATCCGCACCAGAGTACCAAAAGACAACCTTTATGCATTACTCGATTACTCAATACGATTCATACGAGAAGATATCTCGACTTAGTGAGCTAACAAAATCTTCCTTCCGAAGAAAATAATCTAGGCTGCCGCCTGTTTTCGATTTTACAGTGGGCTGAGTGACGTTTCTCGGTAGTTAGTTTAAGAATGTGTATGCTGATAAATTTCTTCATTAAAAGATTTTAATTTCCTCATTGTAGATATTCGAACTATCCGCACACTGGTGAGACACTAATATCGTGTCGTTCCACGTCTCTAATTTGTGGGAGATAAACAATCGCCTTCCGTATTATGTATAGATCATATCGCGGCGTTACGGCAGCTCGACGAGTGGAGTAAAGGAAGGTTCGACTGCCCTACAAGACGGGATTGGTTTAATGAACTGATACAAGAGACACGAGATTGATCTGGATGGAAAGAGCGATTAACAACCCCAGCGCACCAATGATGGCTCGATATCGAATGCCTTCCTGATACGTAACTTTTGATTAAGGAGGACACAAATCATTAAGCAGCGAATAGATTCATTTTTTACTTTAATAAAACATTTATAAAATTTATTTGGATTATTGGCTGAGGCTTAAGCTTCTATTACATTTTTCGATAGCGGAAGCGCTAGCAAACCATTATACTACTACTACTACACTTTTCGAACTTGATACTAACTTAGGCTGTCAGTTATTTTTAACGTAGTTATTTATATTAAATCATGACTTTTAGCGTACACAGAAGAATTAAATTTTTCTTTTGAAGAATTAAACTTTTTCACAACTTCGGTCGCTTATTCATCAGCAGAAACAAGCGTTAAGCAAGAAACTTAAAAGCGAGGCTTACTCCTATTTGTCCTGCTTCTTTAGAATACACCTTAAATAGTATAGGTCAATAGACGTAGCCGATTGCACTGTAATTGAAACAATTGTGACTAGATGGCTAGAAGCTGTCTCTAAGAGATAATAAATAAATGCAATTATCACGATAAAATTCATTAATATAGCACATAGGTGGTTGATAATAATGGCTGCTAAGCTAATAATCGTTGTTAATAAATAACAAGCAACTTAGATAAACAATGAATAACAGACAATTCCTCATACACCTCCCAATTGCGCATGCAAGGCTTAATAGTCCAAGAGTTAAACTCATCCGTCCCACTTCATGAGTCGAAGCCGTGTAAATATTGTGCTTTCTTAATATAGTCCAAGGTTTTGTGGTAGGGCGTTTTCTGCAGTGAGAGAGCAGCTGCAGCTTCCTGGAACTTGGTCGCGTTCTTACGAGCGTAAAGTTCCGTGTCGCGCATGATGACAGCCAGGCGGTCTGGTCTTATTTCATCCAGGCCAAACTCGTCGCTCAAGTGAGGGTTGAATCGGAAATACACATTGCCGGGCAGCAAGTCGTGCATGATGGTGTGTACACCTGCAAAATATTACATTTTATTACTGTTTTTACGTTTAGGTAACTGGAATATTGATCCAAGCACGAACATGTTGTGTGCTTCAGATTATCAGAGGATCAAAGGGCGCTTCAGATCATACCGCGCCGAAGGTTATGCAATGAGGGCTGTCGTTCGGGCAAAGCTCAACTTAATGGGTGTCAAGATATCGGACAATGCTACACACAGGCATTGAACTGCATACTGGAGACTCGGGATAAGACAATGAAATGGCTCATTTGATGTTTACGTCATTATAGTCATTGTTACGTGTACTTGAATAAATGATATTAAAAATGTAAGAAAAGGTTTGGATCTTGTAAAAATTATACTGATTTTTGTGAAGGCCAGTTATTGGTGCTCTTTTCCAGGCACTAATGTCAGCAAGAATCAATCCAGCAATGCTTGGGTATCGAAGAATACTGTCTCATAAGTAGCGATTCAATTATCCAGGGAAGCTACAATGATTTCAGCAAAGCACAGGTTTGGCCGAAAAATGAATTGTAACGCGAGAGACCGCCCGATTCTAAATACATTTGTTGAGAGAATCGCGTGATAACGACTGCTAAAATATCTGCAGCGCTAAATTAACACCCCAAAAACAGTTACAACACTAACTATTTGACACGTAACTACCCGAGCTTGGAAGTTTTTACCTCCCAAGCCTCCCCTACGTCATGGAGATACGGCAGCCGCAAACTGCTAATGTCCCGCGCCATCCCCGTTGCCCTGAACACTGTTCATTTGGGGCAGTTCATTTTGAGGGAGTTTGCCATGATTAGGAGTACCAAGGAACATGCACCAACAGCCATCGTACTATGCAAACAAACCTTCACCCTTTCAGCACAGCCAATAATGAAATTAGGGGTGCCATTATTCGAGTAGTTATTCATACTTCCTTAATCATTTTAGTCGATTGCTTTAACGAGCATATTCAAAATTTCACCTAAATTCTAGGACGATCAATTACAAATAACGTTCCATGCTTGGAGTAAAAAAAGCTTTTGGTACCTTCAGTGTCCGTGGCGCTGTTGATGACGCTCCTCAGCTTATTGCCCCAGTTCATGGAGAGAGAAGCGGCAGGCTCGACAGGCTGGAATCTTCCCGTGCCCAGCGACACGACGCACTGGAAAGACGAGTCCGGCCACAGCTGCCGAGCCTCATGAACAGCAATTGCTGCAGGGTTGTTGACGATAATGCCTCCATCCATAAGAACCTTATCGTCCAGTTGAAATTCAGAGAAATATCCAGGAGCAGCGGCAGAGGCTCTGACGGCTTGCCAGAGAAGGGCTCGCGACGTGCCGCTATAGTGACTAGCAACTCTGTGCGGCAAAACGTAGTTCCGGAACAAGTACGCTTGAGTCAGTGAACGAACTGCGTGAGAAGCAACCAAGCACACCTGCAGCAGTAATATTGTCTTAATATGACACAATGTACCTGCAGGAAAATAACTGTACAAAAAAGTAATGTATAGGGCTGCCAAGGAAATGAATCATCGAATGCATGCAATTTATGCCAATGTTGCACGTCTGGGAAAAGTTGAATTGTACCATTACGTTTGGAAAAATTGTCTCATTGTCAGAGAATTGTATCAACTTAATATAATCTGGATCTGGTACATTTTAGAGTACTAAGGATGTTTCAACCAATCGAAAACCAACCTTGGGCAGCCCTGAAGACAAGCTTTGGAGGAGGGGTGCTTCACCCATGTTTTGACGCAAGATGTTATCCCAAGCGTTGCTGTCATAGTAGCTGTTGTTGATCACCAGGCTCGTGGCCCCGCGTAACGTCGTCTGCGTGAATACCTTCTCACTCAGGTCCCGGTAGAGCACTTCGCACTCTAGGGGCGACCGTCGGTGAATTCCAATAAGAACTGCTACGATTGCCCCCGTCGACACACCGCAGATCATATCAAACATTTCGTGCACTGCTTTACCAGTGACTTCCTCAAGCTTTCTTAACAGCTGAATAGCAACTAACCCTCGTACTCCACCGCCATCAATGGCGAGGATACGAAGACCTCGACCTGAGACCGGACCCGAGTAGCCCATGAGGCCTAATACCACCTTAGCCTCCAAGGCGACGTGTTTGTCTTTCGTGGCCTCGAGTATACGCAGCACTCGGCCTATGCCCCCCAGCTTGACGGCGGCAGTGTAAGCCGTTGGGTAGGTGCGAAGGTGGCTGCTTAGGTCGCACAGACGGCGCAGTGTCGCACCCTCGCCTTCGACCGTTAAGCCTTGCACCAAATGGCGCGTGCGCGAATCTACAGACGTCTGTGATACGGTAATATAGAATTGAGAACATGTTTTTTATTACACAAAAAAATTTAAATCAATATGAAAAAATCTAAGTAGGTGAAACACACTAACATTATATATAATAATATGAATGAACTGAGCATTTTTTACATAGCTATCATCAAATCCTAACATCAGAGGCACACACCTCTAACTGAATTTTAAACAAACAGTGCACTAACCTTGGAAACCACATCTCTTTTCGTGTCCAACCATTTAGGCCGTGATGGAAGATTGACCGGAACATTATTGCTTTTACTTTTAGCAGATCTCATGAAGCTGAGGCTTATTTGAGACAGAGATAAGGGTATGTACGAATTAACTATTTTTAATGCTCTCTGTAACTCTGAGTCAGGAAATTCAGGCACAACAGGAGCAGAGGGAGTTGCGATAACTGAGGTAGACAGATTTGTGAGTTTGCCACTTAATTCTTCGTTTGGTTCATCATATGACTTGGATGATTTAGAAGACAGAGAACGAGGAAACCTCATCGAAGTATAGGTTGGAGCCGGTACGATTCTGTTGGGAGCGTGGCAGGAAGCTGTACCAGCAGAGGTAGACTTGTTTACATTGAGGGGTTGAGATATCCGAATATATGAACGGCCTGAGTGTTGGATCATGGCTGTAGGACTTGCAACACTGGAGATATGTGCATTAATGATGTGATGATGACTACACGCATACAAGTTGGTATCATGTTTTGTAGCAACACCAGGATGAGGAGTGATGGCCGCATGATTACTGTTAGCACTGTTGATTTCTGTGAAAGTAAGAAAGAACGCTTAACAGTATTAGCTTAGGAGTAATTACTAAATTTAGTAAGCCAAATACAGCCAATTTTCACTTACACTCCAGAGAAATGAGATTTATTCATTGCAAAATTGATTGCAGCTTAGGTAGAATTTTGGTTTTTGTTACAAATTTGACAAGATTTTGCATGGACTATGGAACCATCTAGCACGATACTTTTTGGGAAAAATGCTTGACATGTGCTTTCAGTTAGAGACATAGATTTAGTGATATTTTTCCACCAATGGAAAAAAATATGACCTTAGCAAGATATATATGAAGAAATGTAACTAAACTCACCATTATTGGTTATGCATCCATCACTTAGAAATTCTCTCACAGCATCAGCACAAATGTTTGTGGAATTTGTGTTTCTTTTTCTTCGATGAATAGTAGAAGTTTTAACAATATCACCAGCAGTTTTTAACACTCTAACTTGATGAACACAAATTGTTAGAGCTTGCCAAATAGCTGTATACTCTTGCTGGGTTAATACAGCAGATTTAAGCATTGGATGTGCAGGTAAGATATTTATCGCACTTGAATTCTTTGGTTGCAGATAAATGTATTTCTTTACAAGGGTCATGAAACGTTGCCATTGTACAATAGACTGACGTTGACTTGATGATGTAGCCATTAAATTTTGCAGCTGACTGGATTGACAAGTTGTTAGATAGGTCTGAGAGATTTTACTATTTTAATTTATAAATTCTTCTGAAAAATTCAATTAAATATATTAGTTTCCAAAATACCTTTATTCAATTTTATGTAATGAATCAATAAAGAAGGGTAATGATTAAACTGTTCAACTACTTTTAACTCTAGAATGATCATAACAGATCTGGACATTTCATCATTAAGCAAATAAAATTATTACCTATGCCTATGTGTGTAGTAATGAATCATGAATCAGCTGAGATAAGATTAGCATTTATGCCACTGTCAAGAAATGTACCAAGTGTGCAAGAAATGACTTGAAAAAATGAATTTTAGAGCCAAATGAAAGAAATTTTGCTCTAAAAAAACAGGCCTTAAGTTTGCTTCAACTTTCAAATTTAAAAAAATTGGTTGTGAGGATTACATATGTAATTAACGCATATGAAATTGTGATTTATCAGGATCACAAGCCTTAATTTCAAGTACTTCTATTACATGCTTTCCAGTGAATATTTGAGACAAATGCACAAAGTTGCCTGATTGTCAGTTTTGTGTGGCTGTGTAGCAGGAGCTCCTCAGAGTCCATGGGTTACATATGCATGCCATGCAGCCAATTATGCATGCCATGCAGCCAAATTTTGGACATGATAATTTTGTTCATTTGCATGTTACTAGTGATGATTTTATGCTATAAATGTAATTATTTGACTTTGTGGCTGCTGAAATTGCTTAAAATAATAATTACTTTTATTTTCTAATACAAATTAATACTAAGCAAGCTGCTTTTAATTTAGGGCAATATCTGTACTATTTAGGCCAATATCAGTGAATTTTAGTGCTTTTGATTATTACCATTTATATTCCTTCTTTGAACATAGAGGTTGTATAGTCAAATGAGGTAAGACAGGATTGCAGCCTTCATGGGGTAAGAAACCCCATGGGGCAGCCTTCACCAGCCCATGGCATGCATTCTAATTGCACTCAATTTAATTTGACAGAAGAATATGTTAGAGCAATCATTGCCTATCATTGCAGTGTTTGTTTCAACCCTCTTCTGCAATAATGAATTTCTAGTTAATTTCAAAGAAAACCTAAGTAAAGAAGGTTCACAAAATAGTAAACCCTATTTGGGAAATAAGCTGTGTCTGATTACAAAAAAATTTTTGGCCAGGTTTGTGGATGTAGGCAAGTAACCTCAAGTAACAAGCAACTTTTGAGACATACTAGGCATTCCTACCTGCTATCATCACTGCCTGACAACTATTCTAAAATGGGGTAAAAAAGGACCGGACATGAGGTAAGACGGAACCACTAAATGATCCTGTTTTACCCCACAAGTGGTCCCATCTTATCCCACGAATGGTCCTGTCATACCCCACAAATGGTCTTCTTTTACCCCATAGTTTATCAAAAATAGCTTTTAAATGAATATATTATTGTGCATAAGTATACATGGAGTATTTTGGTCAAAATTTTCATCTTTTGCTTAAAATAACCATTCTAAATAGGCAAAATTTGCAAAAATTCATAGAAATAAATATATTGTATAATACTTCTTACTTTCTTGAAATGGTTTCTGAAATTTTAATTTCTGGATAATTCAATGCTTGCCCGCTAAAGGGTTAAGTTATTATCAATTTATTTTATTACCAATTTGATAAATTTTCAGACAATGACCCTAATGGAATATACATGTAACATTTGGCAGTGCTCTACAATGAATCAAATCCAACCTACTATTTCTATGCTTAATGAAGTTTTCTCATGGCAAAAACTCCAATGTGACTGATATTAGAGTTGACTTCCTGCAACACAAAACAGTAACAAGTGGTTGTTCAATCAAATAATGTGTTTCTAGATAGATAATATTGAATATCAGATTTATATTTTTACTAAAAACCTTGTAACATAAGAATTACCCGTTGGTCCTTTCTTACCCCAGCCTGGTCCCATCTTACCCCAATGGGGTAAGATGGGACCAGCTCACTTTTTTTAATCTGTACAGAAAACTATGTTGTATGCAAAAAGTCTGAGTTGTAGCTTTGAAGCCCATTGCATAACCACATCTTGCTCATGGTATAGATGCTACATGCCTGTTAGTGATTTGGGTCCTGTCTTACCCCATCTGACTATAATTAGTTTTTGCTAATTTTATTCAAGAAGAGACACTTTCATCTTCTTAAATACAATAAAAAATTCCTACTCAAATAAACAATGGCTGAAGCTCAGATACTGGTATTTTTTAAACCTGATTTGTAGATGACATACACGTGTATGCTGCACAAGACTAGCACAACCAATCTTGTTAGTTTTTAGTGCACAATTACTGCAGGGTTACAGTATACTACGGTACTACCTAGTACCTACTTCTACTTGGAAAGCTTAAAAGGATTAAATAACTGGATTTTCACTAAAATATTAACTAATCCAAAACTGGAAAAACAGGCAGTAACAACCTGTGTATAAACAGCTGTAAATAAACAAAAAATATAACTCGGTACTCAGTACTTACTGCAGTGAGTAACAGAGAGTGCATTTTATTGTTGAAAAAAATGTGGTCATGGTTGGACAGACCATTTCCATAAATGAGAAAATGCGATAAAAACTGATAACACTCTTAAATGGGATCAATTTTTTCTGGGAGGGGCAGAATTTTCCAAAAATCATGGTAAAATTTATAAAAACTCATTTCCTAGGAATCTTATAAAATTTCAAACAAAAATTTTTTATTAAAACATTTTTCTTAGCTTAGCTTCACGTTTGTTTGTTTGTTGTTAAAATTGACAACAAAATTAGCCCACTTCTGATTGCTCTAGAGATCTGAAATTCGGCATGCAGGCTATTTTTGTCTAACAATTTCAGATACAATCATAAAAACTTGCAATTAGAGACCTAAATTAGCTTAATCGAGTAAAGTATATATATATAGTATATATGTATATAGTATGACGTGCGGGCGTTGACATTATAGACAAGCAGGCGCTGACGTTGCGTATCATCGATCCATGCAGCAACGGACTAAAAAGGAGAAAATAAAATACTTAAAAATATTTTAAAAAAAACACGTTTTTCTTGTGGACTAAAAAGTAGAAAATAAATTATGGCTCGCCCCAAAAAACGTGGGTCGGGCAGATTTATGATTAAAACTGGAAAAACAGGCAGTAACAACCTGTGTATAAACAGCTGTAAACAAACAAAAATATAACTCAGTACTCACTGCAGTGAGTAACAGAGAGCGCATTTTATTGTTGACAAAAATGTGGTCATGGTTGGACAGACAGACGGACATGACAAGCACAACAGCGCCTTCTTCCATAAAAGAGAAAATGCGCTAAAAACTGAAAACACTCTTGAATGGGATCAATTTTTTTTGGGAGGGGCAGAATTTTCCAAAAATCATGGGTAAAATTTATATAAACTCATTTCCTAGGAATCTTATAAAATTCCAAACAAAAATTTTTATTTTTCTAATATTTACTAAATAACTTAGTCAAGGGCCATAGAAACGTGTGAAAATCATAGTATCTGAGCAGAGACCTTTTTAGACTCTTTCTTTGAATCCTATAGATAGACCAGATAGTATCATGGATACCAGCATTATGGTATCATAAATAAGAAATTGTTTTAAATCCTGGACTTGAGTAGATAAGGAAATTAAAAATGAACTGAATATAAAAAATCTCTGATTTGTTACTATGTGTGAGATTGATCACAAGCCCAGGTATTTTCATCTTCAAGGGTGGCTTTTGCCCAGTGTCCTATTCTGCAGTTTGCCTTACTATCATTACTATGAGTATGATGATGATCCTTAGTCCTTACTCTTACAAAAAGGAAAAACTATATTTTTGTTGGCAATTAAAAAAAAAACACAAGAAATAATTCTTTTTACAGTTTTTCTACATTTGTTTTTTTTATGTACAGTATTGGAAGGTCACCTCAAGTCCTCAACCTCATCAGTCATAAACATGACCAGAGATGGAGTCAGCAAAAAAACAGTATGCACTAACTCAATAAGATTAGGATAGATGAGTAACCCTTAAATAACATAACTTAGAGATAAAGTTGGCCACTGGGCCTAAACTGAAAGCATTAAAAAATTAGCTACCTATAGGCTATAAGTCTATAGCCATTAGCCTATGGGCTATAGCTATAGGGTGAATTAATACCTAGGTAATCTTTCCTTTTCAATGCTAAATTGATGAGAAGCATGAAATGAGAATTATAATTTGTACTAATCTAGATAGTCTTGTACCTAGTCTGCTAGTCAATGCTAAGGGATTTCCTTGATGAATTATTGATCAATCTAATCATCATGGCTTGCACAAATAATGCTCAACACATTACACAACTAACAGTATTACACAACGCAAGCAAGTGACGTTTCAACGTCCACAACCTGTCCTAACCTATACAATTATTATTGAATTATACTTTATATTTTTTTTGTAAAATACTATAAAAGTACATCATACTAAAATGTTACTTTGCTATCAAGATAGAAAAAGCTATAAAAACCTCTGAGCTTTTGAAGTTCCGTCCTTTGTACTGCGACGATGCACAGCCTAGCCCGCGGCCCGCGCCACCTACAGTTCTGCACCCAAGAACTTGTGTTTACCAATGCAGCTGACTGTTCCGTGGCCGCGCAGTGGGGTGATACAAGAGCGTGACGTAATATTGCTGCTATTTGTGCCAACCAATCCGAGTTCAGAACGACATCATGCCATCGCTCATCATTGGCTAGAATGATCCACACCTCCAGGAAACGCTCTAGCCTGAGATCATTGCATGACGCGCACGGCCTGAATTATCATAAAGCAATTCTAAACCTAATTTTTACAAAATTAATCATTTAGTAGGGTTTTCTCAATGATACGTCAATAATACTCCCAATATACAATATTTTCCAGCAAACAGGAAGTTACCACTTCGAGATTGATCAAGCTTCGATTTTAATAAAATAATATACAAAATTTGACACAAACTGATCGGTGTTCAAATCGTGGATTGCTGAATAAATCACACGCATACTTCATTTCAAAGCGAAATCCAACTTGGAAAAAATGTTTTTCACATTTATAGAATTTGTTCCGTGCTAGCGATGGTGGAAGTTTAAATCACACTTTTATTTGTGAATAACGCACGTAGATCGTCAAATATAGCCCCCATTAGAATGATTAGATACAGCAGTACTAAAATTGTTAGAAACGCACTTCACCATTGCCACATTGAAGGCGACCATGGTTTTGCGTAGTAGACGAGACTGCTATTTTAGTATGTACGCATCGCAGAGACCTTGAGACACTGAACGTAAACAACCTCGTGTCCTTGTCATTTACGTTTGAACATGTTTTGCGTTAATGCCATAATTTGGCGTTTTAAAGAAATTTTGGAAACTTAAAATACGATACACGATTAGTTAATAATTTGACACTACTAAGCACGGTTACGCAGAGACGTGCGCAATATCTAGGTAGGTAGAATATTGACTAGAAAGCAAGCCGAAGAAATATTGGGGACGAAAGTGGATATTTTGAGAACATAATTCAAGCAAGCAGTAAATGAAAACGAAATGGGTTGTGCAATTACGTAGGTGCAGATATTGAGATACAAAATTAGAAATGATGGCATTAACAATCCAAACAAATTACTCTAATTCTTTCCAAATGCAGGAATTTTACCAATAAAAATACAAAATTATGCGTAGATTCTAGTATTATTGAACATCGTCCACCGAGTAATGACAGGTAATTTTTTTAATAGACATGTGCAACAGGCGAGGTCAATTGCGTCCGTCACCGGCGCCCCGGCCTTCGAGGCACGTCATTTGCTCACTACGCATCTAGACGGAATAATTCAACACATTATGTTGACCACCATATCGTACCCGAGCCGGAGAGAACAAGATGCTTGGAACTAGAACAAGCGACTGTATTAGGGAACTCGGCTCTGCCTGTAACTTATTAGTTTTTTTTTAGACGTACTAAGAGAGTGACAAAAAAAAAAAAAAATTGACGCACGAGCATTCGTGATAAAAATAGCTTCATTAGAATGCCAACTGGGTTAAAGTAACAATGACTAGAAATTATGGGAACCACAGAAACCTCTGACATAGATTTATATACGAGCTCTACAAGCCAAGTATCATTTAGTGCAGGGACGAAGCTTTGTTGACAATTGCGATCTCGCGTTCACGCAAATAGCGCCATCAAACCGTCTCTAAGCTCACGTTGTGAAAAACCATCCCAATCCGAGGCAAGCGTGCAACAAAAATTGCGCAATATTGAACAACATGGAGAATAAAATTGGGTATGAAAAGATAAGTTATATTTTCGGTTCAAACACAAAATTATATGAATTCACAGTTATGCAGCGTTCTCAATATTTCTGAGTTAAAATTCAGGTCATCAGGTCATGTCATCAGAATTCGGATTTCAGAAAGGAAGAATGATAACCAGACTCTAGGTTCTTCACTTGACATTAGGGTTCTGAGTGGCGTAGGCGTTCAGGAGCCGTTGTTCTTCTTCGTCTTCCTCGGAAGCATCGCTGTGCCCCCCACCTTGGTACAGATCCCTCACCTTCCCTATCCTCTCGTGGTCAAACTCTGCCCCCACGGCGCACGACAACAGCCGCTGGATGTTGCGCTCCTCTTTGTTACCGTATATGTATCCATTCGCTTTGTCTACTGCCTGTAGATATGACAGATATTATTTTATACTCTTCTTGGCTTTTGTTGAGAACCCATATAATTGATTAAATGAACATTTAATAAAAGTTTTCTAAATCCCTACTTGCCTTAATATTATATTGAGCATAGTTCATGGTTTGAAAGCTGAACGGAGCTGCAAAGAATACTCACTTTAGTATAGCGACGTGTACAAGTTGGGCTAATAAGTGTGTAGTGCATATCCACTTCAACACAAAATGCTAGGCGGGCAAAGGCACTACGATAGTCCCTTCAATCGAATCAACAGTTTGTTTGATCAATAGAATCAGAGCTTTGGGCTTACCTTCATGACATTAATGAGGGTACTCCTATTCTGAGCGCTGACAGGAATGAAGGAAACTAAGGCGTAGTCGGTCACAAGCTCGGCCATCGCTTTGTTCAGCTTGCGGTAACTGCGGTAGACAAAATCAAAGAAATTTTCATCGTATCATCCACTTATAAACACTTTGCAGTCATGTGTTTGGCAACTTTCAATACTGGACTGCAATGCAATGACTTTCGAAAAAATTTCTTGAATTTAATATACTATCCATCGTGTTATTAGCAACGAAGTTAATGTGCTTATTTATAACCTGACTTAAGACTCACCGCTTCGTGAAAGGAGAATCATGTAGCTGGTCCAGCAAATAATTCAAGTCCAAGACCTCTGTATAGAATTCAAGCGGCATCTGCAGAGCCTCATACTTGTCCACCAGATCAACTTTAGACAGCAGGTTGACCGCAGGCGACTCCAACTGTAGCATGCTAGTGAGAGTGACCAGTAGAGCAGACAGGTACTTGCCTGTTGTGTTGAACAAGACTCATGTCGCTCTTATCACAAATAAACATCGACTGATTAGGAATAATATGCGTTTCATTAATTTGAATTTGTGCCTTCCAAATTATCAAATGAACAAATAGAGCAATATTCACTTCTGTTGGTTTCAGTAACTACTGTACACCAAATGTGTTAGTTCATACTGACTAAATTCTACAGCTGATTATTTGTATATGGTAATGACGCTTAACAACGATGGTGAAATCCAGTCAGAGCAGCAGTCCAGTAGAGGAATATACCACAGGGCAACAATAAAAACCAGTCACAACAGTACACAGTTGTTGTAATAACTAATAACCTGCTGTTCACCTGCTTCGTTGGCGTAGTGAGCGTCCACGAGATGTACAGAGCAGAGTTTGATGTTGGCTGAGTCGAGGGTACGAAGAAGATCTCGCACCATCGTGTGGTGAGTGTAAAGCTCGGCCTGGATGATGTCATTCAATTGAAAACGTTAAAAAAAATCCTTTTAAGACATGTTGGTTACGCATGCGTGATAGAACCAAATTTAAACCTCGGCACCATCCATGAAATGTTGTAATCTTATTGACAAGAGCAAAAATGAAACGGCAATCGAGAAATATCATCTCAAAGATGAGTTTGCCTGCATGCTAGCAAAATAGGAAAAGGTAGTAGTAATCGGTGAAGGTAAAATCGAACATGGCAACTCTGCAAAACAAGATTTTGTAGATTATTCAATAGCCCAGACTGGCATTAAATTTTCGTCACCATAGTAACTCGCATACATAGACTGCACTTTCAATGCAAAAATAGAAAAATTTACCCAAACCCACGACCATGTTGATTTTTAGTTATTACAACAAGTGTGTATTGTTTGAGGTTCACAGAACAATAGTTCTCAAGTTGAATGCATATCGGTATTGGTACCGTTCTACCGATTGGTAGAACGGCCATACTGCGCCATTTTGGTCAGAAAGTATGATCAAAAGCAGACAATTCGATCAACCAGAAAGCTTGAGCGAGGCCTCACTTGACCAGGAAAGTCGAAGATGAGGTAGTGGCCGGCAAGAGACTTCAACTTGTCGAGCAGCCAGTCGGTGTTGGACGCCAGCGCCTCCATGCAGTAGAGCAAAGCAGCGTTGGGGCCCAAGGCCTGACTTGCCATCACCTCCTCCATCTGCACCAGTTCCGTGACGCTCACGCTGCTCTCGTACGGCACCGTGTCGTTTGCCGGGTCTAAAAAATCAACATTGAAAACTATAATCAAGCATAACTGGAAATAAATGGCTATTCAGGGGTTTCAGTGAAAAAATAGTATGCCTAAATTGAAGTATGGAAATGATGCCAGGTCAGGTAAATTCATATAATTCAGAAGTAGACCATGAGTTAAGTTAAGGAGTTTTAGGAGATATTATTAGGAATAAATAATCACATTCAAAAGAATTAAAAGACAAGTCAGAGAAATTCAATTCAGGATTCGATTTCAGCAATGGAAATAGATTTTTGGCATATTTATAAAGTAAAATTCAAAGGAATCTACATGCGAATTCTTGCTGAGCCTTAATATAAATAAATGCTCTCGTAGTGTGGCATTGATAGAGCGATTTTCCTGTCAATTTACAATTCACGGTAATTAAGCTCGTGCAACTCAAGCCATTTTAATAGGTAAATAAAACAAATAATTTTTTTTAAAAGCTACGTTTTCTTAACGGACAAAAAAGAAAAAACATCAACTCTTACATAACATTAAAGTTATGTAGAATGTTATGTAATGTTATGTAAGAGTTAATGTTTTTCTTTTTTGTCCGTTAAGAAAACGTGGTTTTTAAAAGTTTTTTGTTTTATTTCATTGTTTTGAGTTTTGTAACCACCAGAGAAACGTGGTTTTTTAAAATGGTTTTTACATTTATTTATTTTCTGCATTTTAGTTTAGCTATTTTAGCAATTCAAATCATTTTCCAGGGTTGGCAAGTCTGGATATTTGACAAAAAAAAAATCGATTCCCAACCGTGAATTTTTTTTTAAATTTTATTATAAAAAAATTAAAAAGAAAAAATAATTTTTTAATTATTACTTCTGATGATAAAATCTTTAATTGTTAGGCAGCATAAGCATGCATGCCAAATTTCAAGTTTCTAGGATTTTTAGAAGTGCTATAAATTAAGCTTTGAATTTTTGATGACAGACAGAGAAGAAGGGAAACTAAGAAAAACGTGGTAAAATACCTTGTACCTAGTTGAGCGTGATGAGCAGAGAAAACCACGTCACCTCGAAACATTACGGCTCAGATGGCAGTTTACTCGTCCGTATTTTTTTAGTTTCGCCTAGTATTTAGCAGCAATCCATATTATATTTAATATTATTAGCGGGAGAGAAGCTATTTGCAACAGTTTAAGAACATAAAAAGTCATACCGTTCTTTCCGCCTTCTATTCAAGAAAACTAGGAATCTTGACAAAAAAAAATCTCTAGCAGTCCGATACTAAGACTCATTTGAAGGCAGCACAGCGACGACGCACTAAGTAACTCACAAAATTTACAGAACACAGCAAGCTATCGCAGAATAACTCACTTAAATTAGGTAACACAGCCACGAATCAGAGAGTAACTCACCTAGATTGATAAGGGCCACCTTACGACCGAGCTCAGTAAGCAGCGTTGCCATAGCTTGACAGTAAGTCGTCTTGCCGGAGCCTGGAGGTCCGATCACCACTTGTCCAAAACTGGACGAGTGGCTCAAGGTTTCCTCCATTGCACTATGTGGTCGAAATAAATAGTGTGGGTAACTTTGTATGTCCTGGAAAATTGGATTAAATTAGTTTATTACTCGATAGTACTGCCAGCATTGTAAAATCTTGATATAGCAAATTTAAAATAGTATTTTTCACCATAATGTCGGAACGAAAAAGGCATTCGTCGAAAGACAAAGCAAGAGAGAGAACTAGAGCATTGTTTAAATCCAATCATAGATTATATTTTTGGTTAAAGATTGCAGATCGCGTTAGTAGATGAACCACGCACCTCTATCATGCACGAAGATGTTGGTTGATGGAGTGGGCCAGGGCAGCGAGCTCGGTGCGCGGCGGCAAGCAAGGCAGCGTTAAGCTCAGCAGAATTGGTTTATTGGTTGCCAGGAGCTCGGCCAGAGCGCGAACACTGAGCACGGTCGAGGACTCTTCGCTCCCAAGTATGCACCTTCAGTCAGATATTCCAATGTTAAAACTTGAAATGAATAAGGGATAATAATTATGTATAGTTTTGAGCAGGCACCGTATTTAAAATTTCAACCGTTATTGTAGTTTGATTCCACCCTCAATTAATTACAAATATCATTATATAAATAAAATAATCAACATTTCCATATAATTTTAAAATGAATGTTGATTGAAGGCTCTTAGTAAAATTGGAGTTTGATCGGGTCCTGCCTTGCTTAACATTAATTCAGTGCAAGAATTATTGTGATGGCTGGAAATTCGATTGTTCATTGCCCATTCGAGATCAGTTTGGCAACTTTTAGGTAACTGATTGAAAGGATAGTAAAATTTCGGCAATTATTTTTCCTGAGTAACGTAGGGGTTAGCTTGAAAGCCTTGAAATGTCTTTTCTATTTTTTTCCCTGGCAAGTTTCGTGGACTGAAGGCAACGACCAAAATACTTGCCTTTTCCTAAATCAAATTTTCATGAATTGAGAGTATTCATGTGTGCATACAGCATACAATAAAATTTATGGATTTGTTAAATTACGTGGTTGATAAGGGGGCAAAATGATCGACTGATATAGGTACATTTATTTCAACGCAAATAAAGTGAATGGTAATAAGCAAATTCAGGACTTATTTATATTTATTGCCATGCAAATAATATGCATTGTGATGTTTCTATGCAAAATTCATAACTAATATGAATACTCATTGCAAGAAGAAGGAAAACATTTTCAGTATTCATTCCAATGACAACTAAACGCAAGTTAGAGACGATGTTGCAGAGCGCGTCTCACCGTACGTTGTAGATGGCGGTGGTGGAGGCTAGCAGCGGCGTCTGTTGGGGCGTCTCGCGTTGAACCAGGAACAGGTTGCCAACGCGGCCAACCGAGGTGACCGTCACGAACACTCGATTGCTGCAACGACATCCACACTCAGGAAAATAAATTGCTCATATGGTCTAAATAGTGACACGCTTTCTTTCTCACATAGCAAGCAGTAAGTGGATGTAGTCCCGATACGCCCTTTCCCAGTCCGATCATAGTTGAACAGACGATGCTATTAAACGCTTTGTTTACAGATACATCAAGTCTTCAATGCTACTTGCATCAGAAGGTCAGGCAACAAAAGTTACCGCCAGTAGATTAAGGGTAATAATGCATTTGAATTCCGCAGTTCTTATCGAGATCGATTTAAATAACAATGCGTTATAGCTAAAGAACCCATCAATTAAACGATACATATTCACAAGCGGAATGGTCAATCAACGCACAGATTTCCAACTAATGGGAACATGTATCTCGGACGCGATAAAATTTTTAATTCTAATGTAGGAAGCACAAGAAATTTCGAGGATTCAGTTCAACCGAGCAGTTGTATACAATAATAAAGTCGACCTCAAATGAATCTGAAACGTGTACATGATACATAAACAACAATTAATGATGAACGAAACGAGCAACAAAACATCATTTTAACTGACCTGTACTCAATAACTGCACAATCAACTTTGTCTCCGGACACGTGAGTAGCGAAGGTGGCTGTCCTTACAGAAGGTGGTCGGCAGCTGCGGGAACTCGACTGCGAAGTTTCCGAGTCCAAGACACACGAGCGCAGAGAATCGTTGAGCGCCGCCATGCAACGAACGCTCCAGTCTACTACCGAAACTTTATTGCTAATATGACTTAAGAACAAATCTTTGAACTGATTGATGCAGGAACAGGAGAACACAAAGTTTCTGAGGCAATGGGAGTCAAGTGGCAAAGAGGCGAGGTTGAAAGTCCTACGTTGTTAGGATATTGATATGAATTTGAACCTTCACTGCACAGCCGATGCTTTCACACGAAGTTGCAAACAAAAATCTGCAAATATACTCGGTTCAAATGAGAACTTTCATAAATGTAAAATTGTTCAATTACAACATGATACTGACGCGCCTAGACGACTAACCAATAAAAATGAACATACACAATAATCGAACAAAAGTGTGGGAGAAGCCAAAAAATATGTGAAACTCGCAGGGATGAATTTAACCGCTCTGGGACATCAAAATGTTAAGCATAATTGGCGATACATTTTTTCAATCTTTCTTTCCTTTGAGAATTTTGCTTCTGAGCACAATAGCAGCTTGTTGTTTCTTGCGTAGCATTTCTGCTTCCGCAGCTTTCCGCTGAGTAATTTCCTCCTTTTTCTTGAGCAGATGATTGAATATTTCTTCCTTCTTCTCTTGTGTAGACAGACGTTGTTTCTCAGAAATGGATGGCGATGGAGAGACTGATGAATTATTGGCGTTTCTTGCTGCATTTGTAGATGAAGGAACATTGTTTATAGGCTTAACACGAGGCTTCTTCGCAATCCTCGACCTAGGCGTCATGCCATCCGTCGCTTTTTCACTAACATCACTAACATTTTCAGACGCCAGGCGTCTTTTCCTGGGTTTCTTGCTAGCCTTTTGATCTCGAGCAATTTTTGCCATCAAATTATCCTTAGGTTGCGGCGAAGTTTGAATAATATCACCTCGGGACCTAGCAATTGCCTCTTGCAGTCGCTTACTGGTAACCTTCGTGTCCTTCACAAGGCGCACGTTGTTGAAGAACGTATCAATCCTCGTTTGTGAAGACTTGACGCTCAAACGCTTCATGACAGGTATCAAAATCTCGTCAGTTTTCGATCGGCTCCAGCCAAGTTTATCAGCTGTAAACTCCCTCAACGCATCCGTGTTCGGAACAGACCACTCGAATTTTTCTCGTGACCGATCAACGGCAGGTTCGATGTAAGCAGTGTAGACTTCGTCGTTGGGGAAACCTTCTGGAAGGTACACTTTATAAAGCTTCTCACGGAGCTTGGATGGTTTAGACACAGACACGCCCCTGTTAACCGATATCCACCATTTTTTAAAGTTCCGCAATATTTCTATCCCTGTGCCGGGAAACTCGGAGAGTATCTCCATTCCTGAGACGGCCCCGACACCTTCAATGCCCATGGTGTAATCGCTCCCGGTTAATAGCGCTAAAGTTATGAGCTTTTCTCGATCTAACCCGAACTGAGTTCGAATGTTATCCAACTTGTATAGCTCAACGTGCTGACTTTGATTGAAAAAATTTTTGTAGACGTGCTTACTACCGAAAAGAAAAGCATCCGAGTCATCGGTTATGGTACCATTCGTAAGCTTGACGTCGTCAAGGAATGCACATTGAGCTTCTGCTTCCATAGGTGCCACTATGTAAGGCAAGCCAAAAAGCTGCAACAGTTCTTGGGCATCTGTGTACATTTGCTGCGAGAGATTAGACGCGATTCGATCCCCTTTCTGGGCTTGTGCCACCAAACTCTTCTGTTCTTTTGCAAGTTCTTGTTCAATTTTCTTCAGATCATCTTCATTAGGACCAGCGAATCCAACTTCAGCATTCACAGCGGATGTGTCAGTGTCGAAATTGCATTCATCAGCCGACTTGACAACATACGCCGGCGCAGAAGCGTTCTGAACAGTTTTATCTACCGCTTCGCTGGTGGAGGAAGAAGCAGCTGTTGTTGAAACTCCTGATATTTTTGTGATTGTAGTGAAAATTTTCCGAGAAAGATTTTCGCCGTTTTTAAGATTGCCAGTCGGGGCAGCATCGTTTGCATCAACAGAGCTGGCGCCGCTTCTTTTAATTGGTGTTGATGTGGGGTCACGAGTTTCTTCAGATGATAAAGAGCGGGATTCACTAATTGGTTCATGTACCTCAATAAAGTCGTCGTCATCATACGAATCTACACCAGAATTTTCAGCAATAGCTTCTGGTGACTCAATGGAATGATTAAATTGTGACATTGATGGAATGGAATTATTTTTTCCGGCATCATCGGATTCGTTTCTATTCTGAGTTTTTTCAGAGCGTTCGTGCAGTGATAAATTTATAGGGAAAGGAGCGGCTGATGCAACCAAAGATTGACAATTCTCCGAATTGGTACTCGATTGCAATGCTCCCGAAACTGACTCATTGATAGAAGAGGGGAATCCAGACGTTTTTAGCATATTTTCGAGCTGAACTTTGACAAGGTCATCAATTTTTTTCTTAATATTCTCTTCAGTGTAGCTACCATTCTTTACTCGAACTGTAGAGACTTTAGTTTCCGATGAATTTTGCTCCATGGCAACAATTTCCTGGACACTATTTGATTTGTCATTCGCCATTAATTTTTTCCTGTGATTTTGAACAAATTTGACACGAGTGCGCTTGGTTTCATCCAGCAATGAAGGCGCTGGAGTATTGTTTGATTCTTTATTAGGTTCTGTGTTCGATGAAGAAGAGGAAAATATGTCAGCAAAGATGTCTTCTTCAAACAATTTGGGTTTAGAGACATCGATGCTTAGGGCCAAACTATTCTGTATGGAAGATTTCTGCTTTTCGTCCAAACTACCAGGTGACATTCCTGAGACACTATTCTTTCTGCGAGTATCTACTTTAGCTTTGCCAAGTGACTTATCTTCTACTTGAATGATGTCGTCTAGTCTATGCTGCACAATTTTAATATACAAGCTACTGGAGTTCGAAGATCTGAGGGCATCGATGTTGTTGCCATCTCCGTCACTTTCACTGTTGTGCGACACAGGACATATTTCCTCCAACGCAGAAGCTTTTCCTATCGCAGTTTCGATTCCGGCACCCAGGTCACCTGAAATATCGGTTTCAGGCTCGTCAACTTCGACAAAGTCATCAGTGTCATCAGAATCCGATGCATTGACATCTGCATTGCATACAACCCCAGAAGCATTGCGCGAGGTGCTTGGCTTACTATCGTCACTTTCAATCATGGTATCAGCTTCCTGTTTCGACTGCTGGATCAGACGCAATATTTCATCTTGAGTCAAGCCATTGTTATCACTCAACGCATAATTCATTACCTGCACCAGCGCTTCATCTCTGGTCTCCTGACTGTCAGAATATTTATCGTCACTAAATTCTTCGTCTGACGAGTCATCAGTATTACAGTAAGACGAACATTTATTAGGGTTCTTGAAAATTCCTTCTTTCATCAGCTCCTGAAGAAAATCTTTCTGAGGCTTTTTCATCAACGACTTGCCTTTGTCTACCTTTCTTGGTTTGACAGGTTCTTCATCCTTCGTAGTGTCCCTTTCTTTAGTGATAAAAATGCTGTGAGCGAAGTCTTCAGAAGCAATCTTGTGCGTTTGACTGACATGCTTTTCCAGGTCACCAAATAATTCTCTTTCCAGTTCCTCCGACTTTTTTTGCTGTATAGCGGATCTCACGCTGTCAATTGTTGTTTGAAACTTGAAGCGCTTCAGAAGCCTGTCCATCTGGTAAGTAGCAAATCCTGATGACTCCGAAGGCATGCTGTTAATTGTAGCCCATGAGTTGTCTTTCCTAGAGTCTTGCAATTCGACTAAAATTTCGTGCTGCTTTTGGATTGGTAACGAACGAAACTGTTCACTGTCCAAGTCGAAGTTATGGAGATTTTTATAATGAAAAGCCTTCCCCCGTTTCCTGGGTTTCTCAGAGTACTCTCCATTTTCATCGCTCGAGATTTCTTCGACTTTATTTTTTAATGCTTCATCTCCAAAACTTTGACCTTCAGGCAGAGGAGGCAACTCGAACATGTCTTTCTGGCGCGTTTTAGGAGCTGGCACCACTTTGTGCTGAGAAGGTGCGGGTCCCGTTCTACCGAGGGCATGACGAACTGCGTGACTCTTCAGGAGGTTGTTAAGAAGTCTCTCACGGATACGGTCAGCTCTGTTAGCTGCAGCTTCTCGACGCACGCGTCGCAATGATTGTGTTTGCTTCTTGAGGTGTGGAACTCCCCCATCGAATACAAACACTGGTTTTATGCCAAAATAAAGAAGCTTGCATATTCGATGAAATAACGTGAGTAAGTGTGCGTTGGCAACCGTCTCTCCACCAATGCCTCTGAAGCCACGAACCGCCTGGTGCAACCAAATAGAAACATCTACTGCAAGTACTTTATTTTCCAGTGATTCTAAAGGCACCGGAGTTCCGGCCTCTTCTATGAGTCTCCATAGCCCCTTGACTCCCATGACACAGATTTATTTTCTTTTCTGTAAAATAAAAATGAACAAGTCACTTTTTTACATGCACCTTTGCAGAAATTCATTATATATATATCAACTCCATTATTGACATCTAAACCTGAGGAAGGCGCTTTATACATTTCTAACCCTCTGGCCACTCATTCATTTGCATTATATATTTGTGCAAGACCTAAAACAAAGAGAAATGATGAAATCCTAACAAATCTGATATACTCTATATGTATTAAGTTTGAAGATGTAAAAGAAAATATGCAATATTCACTGCTATACAGTAAAAGAAACAACATAACAGCATCACAGCCAGTGCCATATTGTGCTAGGGTTGGCAATATCAAAGTATGGAATGATCATACATAACATACAGGGAAACTGAGAGAAGAGAGGTTCAGCATCTTGTATGTTGATGATGGAGAGTGAAGGGAAGTGAGAATCCTATGATGGTGCTAGTGAGCTCTGTCATATCAATGATAATTTCTATCAAATTTATTGTTATTGGCAGGCAACCTCAAGAAAGAAGCAACTTTCAAGGCAGCAAGCATTCAAACCTTATACCATTACAACCTGAAATGCATTCCAGAATGAGACAAAAATGACCACAAGTGGGGCAAGACACAATGCAACAACCAAAATGTGTCTTGCCTTGCAAACATTCTCCTCTCAACAGCTCAAAAGCTTGTGTCTTATTCAACAGTTCATATGAGTTGTTTCTAAACAAATGTACACTATGTAAGTGCCAAAAATGTTTATGTTTTGTACATAATTACCAAGTTTAACCAACTCAAAAGGTGGAAAAATATACACAAATATACAGAGCTGGGAAGCGCTACTTGGAAATGTAGCGGCGCTACCGCTACCGCTACATGCTCTAAATGTAGCGGACGCTACCGCTACACCCACTAGATTGTAACGGGCGCTACCGCTACAGTAAAATGTAGCGCGCTACATTAGCCGCTACAATGGCCAAAATTATTAGAAATCTCTTAATATTTATTGTTCTGCTATTGGGATTTACTCATTAACATTTAATGATAATAAAACATTTTTAAAACATATCAATGCAACTT